GTGTGTGTGTGTGTGTGTGTGTGTGTGTGTGTGTGTGTGTGTGTGTGTGGTAAGCCCCTCGCTCAGTGTACAGTAGGTCATAACTTGTCAGTTTCCTGTTCCCTGCTAACTCAGACATCTGTACTGAACTCAATATATTCTAAGAGCCACAAAAAGGAAACAATGAGCCTCCAATAAAAGAATCATCTAAGTGCAGAAAAACCAAATAAATCTTTTTCTTTTTTCTTTTCTTTTCTTCTTTAAAAAACAAAACAAAAAATAAAACAAAACTAGGGCACAAAGTCTGCATGTTAAGGTTTGGGTGTCCTCACGGTCTTGGCAGCTGGTTAAACAATTAAACACAGTGCAGAGTTCTAGCAATGAAATTGTACTCAGCTGCTATTTTGCTTACAATTTTGCTTTAAAAATGTTAATCTGCCTCTTTGTGAAAGAAACACAAAGTGCAAGCATGGTGAATAATTTTGATTATGAATGTGTGTTGTTTTTCCAGCACTTTGAGGGCATCATTCGAACAACTAAAAACTCGTAAGTCCATGTGCTGTGTAAAGTTACACCCATATATGTGTCAAATGTCAAATGGTTCACTGTGCCATGTCGATGTTTTTTGTTGCAGAAATTGAGAACATCGGAAACTTTCACATCCAACTATCTGATATATTGAAAGAGGAGGTGAAAAAGATTGAGAGTTTCAGAGAACGTCAGAAAGAGCAGAGGAAGAAGGTATTTGGGAAATGTGTGTTGCTTAACAACTGACTTATTAAATAACCCCCCCCCCCCCCCCCCCCCCCCCCCCCCCCCCCCCCCCCCCCCCCCCCCCACCCAAAATGGTTAAGGTGTGAATACTCTGAGGATAATATAATTCTTTATTACTTTTAGTATTGCACAAGTCATTAGAATAATATTGTAACTAATGGCTGTTTCCTGTTTGGAAAACACTGTGTTACGTAAGTGTTGACTTAATCCTGCAACCATTTAAATCACTTTACAGACACTGAGTGCAATGCTGTGATAGCAGCTGATAAGGGGAAACCTATAGTTTCAAAAATCAAACGATTCAAGACTTGAGTAAAGACTAATTCAGTCTTTATCAAAGTGACATCAAGACTTTTATCACATTAACAGTAAAAATCCAGGTCTTTTATTCATCAATGAACAATAACTGCAAGTATCGGGTTTGCATTGAAGCAACATATGCAAGTAATTTCAACCTTTTGTCTTTAGTTTGAAAGCATCATGGAGAAGGTCCAAAAGAAAAAAGTTTCATTCTTCAAGAAGACCATGGAGGTAGGAGACACTTCCACTCCTATCATTTATCACTAACACATGGAATCAGCGTGATTTAGAAATAAACATGAAAACTTAACCACATAAAGGTTGTTTAATTTATGTTCAAGCAAGCACAAAAAATAGAAGTCAGATTTTAAAAAAAATAATAATAATTGCATCACTTACAAAAAGTGTTCTTCCTGTTGCTTTGTCGGAAATAGAACTAATAACTTTTGTTTCTCTTTTTCTTAGTCTAAGAAGAACTATGAGGTGAAGTGCAAGGAGGCCGATGAGGCAGAGCAGGGGGCTGAGAAAACAAATGCTACGTCCAAAAACCCTGAAAAGGTCAAATAAGTGCATGAGCTACCTCGCTAAAAGACAAATGTTTTTATAAGCAACAAAATACAAACTTTTAGATTATTTGAGAAATTCACCACAAAATATGCAAATGCCCACTGTCAGTTCTATTTATGAACTACAAGTTTCCAGCTGTCAGCGGTGCAGTCTTTATGATGGGACTTTTCTGCAGTTGTGCAACAGTTTGCAAGGCGGAACTAAAGTGTGTTTGTGTGCTGGTGTGAGATGTTTTCTTTTCTTCTTCTATCTCTTTCAAGACCATTCCCTATACAACCTATTTATATATCAGTCTCTCTGACTGGTGTTAAAATGGTTACATAACTCACTGAACGTGGCTTCCTGTGCACCGATTTCATTCACAGGTACGTCACAAGATAAAGCAATGCAGGCAGGCGGCCAATGATGCTGGTATGCCTTCACATTATATTTTTAACTTGCATGCATTTTTAGTATATTGCATTCATTGTCCACTTTTTTTGAGAAGATTTCATGGAAAAATAAATTAGGAGAGTGGAAAACAGTGCGGCGGTCATTGTTATGTTCTTTACCAGTGTTTCATTTGTTAACTGTAACTATTAACTATGCTCTATTCTCACAGAGAAGGTGTATTTTAACAACATTGTTCAACTAGAAGCTGTTCGCCAGGACTGGGAGGGGACACACAAAAGTACATGCGAGGTACTGCAGAATATTTTTTCGTTAACTGCTTTCTAATCATGTCTCTATTCAAAATAATGGCATTTAACCACAGAAATAGCTTCACACCACAACCCCTATAACTGTGAAAACCTTCCTGGCAGCGACCATTTGCGGAAGTACATTTCATCTTGTGCTGAGAGAGCCACAAATGGAAAAACATACAACCATGCAGAAACACACTTAATCACACAAAAGTTCTGCTTTATTTTTTTCGAACGACAGCCTCTTTGTGTTGACTTTTCTGTCACTAGTGGACACACACACACACACACACACACACACACACACACACACACACACACACACGGCACCTCTTGGTGGCGCCCCTGTAAGTAAGAAGAGAAAAAAGAAACTATAATGAGCTTTGTATATGTTAAGGCAATTCAACCCTATGTCACGGCAAATATCACGTTTTGCTGTGATACTGAGTTGATCATTACCCAACAGGGTATCATTTCAAAATGCGTAACAAACACACAGGTTCACTGTGCCCATTTTGCCTCTCTGAAACGTGAAATGGGCACGCATGCAGAAGTTGCATTACTGCAACCCAGTATCATGGCAAATCTTGAAATAGTACATAGTACAATAATACATTGTTGGTAATAACACAGAATTCATTTGATAATTATAGGTGTTCCAACAGTTGGAGGGAAATCGCATCAGCATGCTCAGGTGTGCTCTCTGGGACCACTGCAATCATTTCTCCATGCAATGTGTCAAAGATGATGAGGTGAGGTAGTTTTCCCTTTATTTAATATTTAAACAGAATAAAAATGTCAAGAAGAATAAAAATGCAAATTTCTATTCTTAAATCAAGTATAAGTACATTGTCTTGCTGGATAAACCTAAAAAAAAAGTTTTCTTAAAAAACAAAATGAAACATGCAAGTTCGTAACAGTTACAAAAAAACTGATTTAAAAATTTTATTCCCAAATGTTCTTTTAATGAGAATTTATCAACCAGAATTGTAATAATAGTGCAGTTTTCACTCTTTGTCGTTCTTCTGATCACATTTTAGTTCAATGAGGCTTTAATTTTCAAATCTTAAGTGTGCTTAAGTTGAATGTCAGACCACAGCTATGGCCTGCTACTGGATAAACTAATGGATTGTGACTTAAAGCATGTTAGTAGGCTCATGTAGCCTTGACTTCTTCTTGAAAGTTATTACAATCACTTGGCCGATAGTTTTATGGGCTCCGTACTTGCCACTTTCTTAACCATTCTAAATATAAATACCTGGCAGACAGAAAAAGTGTGTCTTCCAGGATTTACGAATCTAAGATTTTGTAAGAGCTGGTGAGCAGCATTGGTTGATTGTATATAAACCCAAACCGGGATCTTTTCATAAACCTAATTAACTATCAATTATGCATAAACCTAAATGAAAAGTGAAAGTAATATAATAGTAATATAAAATGTACTGAATTCCTCCTTTTTAAAACCAGTCTTACGAGGAGGTGAGGAAATTTCTGGAACAGTGTGACATTACCAAAGACAACAACTCTTTCATAGAAATGAAAGGCACTGGATTGAAGCCACCAGGTGAGCTTTCACAATTTGTATTTACTGGAAAGATGGTTGTTTTGTTTCCTTTACTTATAAGTACAAAGTTGAAGTGAGAAAAGTTCCTCTACAAAATAACAGGATATAAAGAGTGCAGCTCAGCTTCTTGACTTTTTCTTTCAATTGACAGACAGGCAAAAAGTATCACTTGGCCTCATTTCTCAAATGAGCAGGTTCTCTTTTCGTCTTGCAGAGCCCATAGTGTTTGAAAGCTATTACAAGACGGGGACAGTCAGGGACAACAATGGCCAAGCTCATTCTGTAGGAGGAGAAGAAGATCCCTCAAAGAGGTGAGACAGAATTAAAATCTTCTTCTTCCTAGCAGTTCATATCCCGCGATGCAGGGTCCGATGTTTTGCATGCCTTCCTCCAATTCTCCCTATCCAGGGCGTCTTCTGGTGTAACATTCGCAGCCTTCATATCATTTTTGATTCGGTCCATCCATCACTTTTTTGGTCTTCCTCGTGGCCTGTTGCCACCTAGATCTAATTGCTGTGCTGTCTTGTCTTTGCGATGGAGTTCTTATCGCTACAGGCAACATGGCTGTACCATTGGAGCCGCGCCTCTCTTGTCCGTGATCGGTGTCACTCCCCATCGTTTCCTGACATCTACGTTCCTCGCTCGGTCTAGTCATGTGAGACTCAAAGGCCACCTCAGCATCTTCATCTCCATGGTGTGAAGGGCTTGTTCGTGCTTGGTCATCGCTGGCCAGCACTCTGACCCGTAGAGTGCCATTGGGCGCACGATCGTCTTATAAACTTTCACCTTAAGATAGATTGGCATTCTCTTGTCGGATAAGACTCCACTGATCTGACGCCACTTCATCCACGCTGCGTTGACACGGAGTCTAGCGTCTGGTAGAGTTTTGCAGTCCGAGGTGACAAGGGACTCGAGGTACTTGAATTGGGCAACTTTAGTCAGTGGCTCGCCGTCAATAGTGATGGTACTGTTAGTCTGGGGGCCGCATTCAAGGTATTCAGTCTTCTTGATGTTCAGGTGCATGCTGTTTTTGGAGAGCCGATCTTTCCACACTTGTGTTCGGGTTCGCAGGGCTAGGCAGAATTAAAATGGGAAAAAGAAATCCAGGTGAGGCCCCCACTTATATCACTGAGCTTCTGCAACCCTACTCTCCAAACCGGATCCTTAGATTCACTGATAGTGGTCTTCTAACCATTCCACGGACCCATCTGAAAACAAAGGGGGATCGCGCTTTTCAAACCTTGGCTCCAATATTGTGGAACAGTTTACCTCCCCCACTACGCAACATCAACCCTTTAGCTACTTTTAAAACAAAGCTCAAAACACATCTGTTTAGACAGGCATTTAGGTAATATTCATGTGTAGCAAACTGTGTTATTGGATGTGCTATTATACTGTGTTTTACTGTTTCAATTGATATGCTTTTATACCTTTTTTATACCATTTTTATTGTTTCATTTGATATGCTTTTATTCCAATGTGAAGTACTTTGAAATAACTTCCTGTTTTAAAAAGCGCTATATAAATACATTTTACTTACTTACTTACTAATTCCAGAGGAGACCTGCTTCAACAGTGTTTATAACATACTATATACTATACTATAGTGTATATAATATACTATATAATATACTTTAGTTCATTTAATGTATATAATATACTTTGTACTCTGCAAACTAAACACAAACCATGTCCTGAAAATATTCTCTTTGTTAATCATCATCTTTATCTTCATCGTTTGTTGTTATTTTTTAATGTTACAAATTTGGGCCTTTGCTCGGTGAATTCACAAAAGTAAACATTTGTATCTTAAATATCTTTCTTGATCTAAAGGTGTTCTGATCCCCTGCTTGGAAGGTCTCTGAACATTGGCATGGACAGTCCACTCAGCCCACGATCTACACTGTCATCCATTGGAGAATGTAAGTACTGCAACCACTCACTCAGTTATATTGTTAAACTGTAGGAAAGACCTAAATCTTCAATATTTTGTTGGTTCTGCTATATTTTATGAATTACATATATAGAGAGTTGGTCTTTCTATTCATATATTGGAGGCTAGAGCAGTCAATTAATTTGAAACATTTCACTATATGAATCAGAGATAAAAAATAATATTCTAATATTATATCAAGAAAGTACACTTCAAAAGTAAGAAAGAACTTTAAATTTGCTATAGTGGACTTGATGAGAGGCCAATCTCTTCTCCAATGAGTCATGTATGTGCCAAATGTGTAAAACTGTATAGACTGTTGGTTTTGAACAGTAACACATCACAGGCCCTGTTGGTCTCTTAATGTATTTGCATGCATACACACTGCAATTATAAAACATGGGGCTAGAAAAAGTATTATATGTAGTCATGGGTCAAACACATAGGTGTGTGAATTTGTTGGTTTTTGTGCTATTTAAAGTTGGACTCTGTGGGTGGATGTGGGTGGCTACCTTTGCCCTTAGTGTGAGAAGCTGCACTTTGAAAATCTTTGTTGTGGAGCTTAAAATACATAACAGATTAATAAATTTATTTATTTTATTTTTTTTACATTTTGTGTTTGCAATTTCTGACATTTAATTCTGCTTTAGTTCAGCTTTCAGATGACGGATATGCACCCCTTCCATGCATTCACCAAGAAGTGCCACTGTCCACGGGTCCACCTGATGAAATCTTCTATGTTGTGCTTTATCAATACACTGCAAAGGTGATTTGCATGATTATTTTAAAATCTACAGCAAGAAAGTGAACACTGAGCAAGATGATCGAGAAAGAAAAGAAGAAAGTAGACGATATTAGCGGTACTGTATTTAAGGGATATTTTCCTGTAATTAAGATGTGCTTTCTTTACATCGACTGATCAGGAAGAAGATGAGCTATCTGTGAGCCGAGGAGATGTAGTTCGAGTGCTGGACCAAGAACAAAATGGGTGGTGGACGGTGGAGAGGAATGGGTTTAGTGGACTGGTGCCAGGAAATTATCTAGGCAAAATTTAAACATGTACGCAAATACAGTAATTTTCTTTATATCTCAGGAGAAATTCAATTTATTTATAGTAATTTCATGAAAAAGAACTGTAAATCCAATTCTTGCCTGCCCCTTTACCTTAAAACAGTAGTTCACAAAATGTGGGCGGGCTATTTCACTGATAATATGCAACTTTATTTAAGTAAAATGCTATGTGCATCATTTTTTATCGTTAATATAATTAATCAAATTAAATACTGTGGGGGGTGGGGGGTTTATAGCTTATGATATAGAGCATGCCAAAAAAAGAACTTTGAGAACCACTGCCTTACAATGAGTTTTATCATAAAATGCAATAATTTATGTTATTGGTATCTGATTTTTGCCCAAACACACTGTGATTGTGTAAACACAATTGTGCCCCCACAACATGCGTGGTATACACAGAACAACAGTTGCAAATGCAAGAAAGTAGACACAAAGAATGTCAACACATCAAAACAGATGTCTCATATGCTTAAAAACTTGCGCGCTTGCAAAGACACACACCAAAGCGAACACATGCCACACACAATACAGCCTACAAACACACACATTTTTGCCAGGCTTTTTTTTCCCAAGTGATCTTACAATACTGGCTAACATGAAAAACTAACCAAAAACCTGAACTAAAAAAGATAATTTAGCAAGCAGTAGACTACCTAATCAATTAATGCAAGCTAAAGGACATGCATTCACCAGCTTATATCAGCCCGATTGTTTAAACTGGTTTGGATAATCAGTATAGCTATACTGTTTATCTCATCTTTAGTTCCTATACTTGTAATATATGACTAAAGAATGGTTAGCCATCTACTTTAGAAAACCAATGAAGAATTTTAAAATTCTCTTCATTCAGTCAAGTTACCATGTTTTCAACATGAATCTGTATATTACTAATAGTAGCAAACTAGTACTGCACCAGTACATTCTAAGCACTGTAACATCACATACTTTTTTTATTAAAATTTGAACTTAAATGACTTGTGATAAGATGGATCATCTTATTCATCTCAAATGACAAGAAAACAGAATGAGTACCATGTGTAAACCACCAGTGACTGCTAAGTTTAACAGCATTAAGCAGCCACATATATACAGCGGAAATGTATATGCTTCTGGCTGTCAATCCTTCTTTGTTTAGAAATGCAGTTTGTGACTAAACTATGACATAGTCTTTTAAATCATCCATTTATTTGGTGCACATGTGAGCTGGTGAAAATAGAGGGCTGGATTTCTAGTTATATGAAAAGAAAGGTTTTCATTAGAACTCTATGCTGTCCTTAACAACTGAGTACAAATTATGATTCACTACCTTGTAGAATCACCTTTAGCAGCAATAACATGAAGTAATCGTTTTTATACTTCATCCGTTTCTCACGCTGTTGTTGAAGACTCATCGTTACAACATTGCTTCAGTTCATTTAGGTTTGTGAGCATTTGCTCACACACAGGTCTCTTAAGGTCCAGCCACAGGATTTCAGTCATGTTGAGGTCTGGACTTTGCAACATATTTTCTATTTCAGCCATCCTGCTTATGTGTTTGGGATCATTATCCCATTGCATAGCCCAGTTTTGGCCAAGATTTTGCTGTCGGACAGATGGCCTCACTCTTGACTCTGGTGTTCTTTGAAATACAATGGCTGCAAAATGAGCCCAAATTATCAGCCCTCCAAAACCATGCTTAACAGTGGTATGGGGTGTTTGTGCTGATGCGCAGTTGGCTTCCAATAAATGTGCCCCTTTGCATTATGACTAGGCATCTCTCTTTGGTCTTGTTCTGGAGGTCTTTTGGTTTGCTCAAATACAACTTTGCAAACCTAAACTATTATTCCATCTTCTCCCTACAATTCTTCCAAACAAGCCATACTCGTTCAGGAATTGTACTGTCAGGAACTTAGATATAACACCCTAAATGAGGAATGTAGCTCTTGGCCTTTTGCAATTTTTCTAAGTATTGCATGGTCAGACTTTGGGTGAAATTGCTGGGGAATTTACTACTGGGAAGTAGATGTGGTCTTGTAGCGTTAACATAACAAAACTAAATGCTCCAAATTAGTAATCTGCCAAAACTTCTTCTTTTACAGAGGTGGTCACACTTGCTGATGATCAGTTGCATTTGATTAGCAGCACCAGGCTGATAATTACCCACTTTGTAATGTGTTTTTCACAGGACTGCATAAAATCCTGCAAAAACGTTCCTTTTCATATGACTGTAGTAATGATCATTTGTATCTGCTGTACATAAAAGTTTTTCTGTAAACCTTCCACAGACCATCAGCTACAAAAGTAGCACATACAGATGAACAAACTACTAGAATAAACTATTTTTATGCTTGTCAAGTGATGGCACATTTAAACATGTTTAATATAATTCCATGCGCCTGATGATATAGCCATATGATATTGCTTGTTTAAGTACTTTGTGTCGGTTTGGGGTTTTTTGGTAGCATATTTACTGTCACGTGAAAAAAAAAATTAAAAGAATCCAGTTGAGGTGTATGAGTTTATTTGTCTCCTTTTATCGCTCATATTTTTCTGTGGAACTAGCTAAATATGGGATCAACTTAACAGCTTAAAAATATTAAAAGGGCACACACTTTCACTACAAGGTACAAAGAATGTGTATTTTTTTAAAAATCAGGTTTATACTTAACAAATCAAACTAAACAAGTAAATGTGTGACTGTAACAGATTAAATCTACATATATAAATCTTTAGGTAACACTGATAATACTCCTACTGATGGCACTGGAGACCAAATAGTTAATTCACAATTTATATCTTAGCAATGCCTTGTTAGTGAAGCCTGATTTGGAAATTTACAATCGGAATATTTGTGAACATAAACAACTCTTTCACCAAACATCGCTTTGAGAATGAGATGCTGCTCCAACACCTAAAAAAACCAAACATTCATAATTCTTATTCTGCAAATCTTAAAAACTAGACTGCATTCATGGAACAGCTAAGATTAAAACGTCAGATCTGTACTATGCTAAAAAGATTTGTCTGGTCAAACCAAGGCCTTGGTAACAGAGTACATGTTATTTTTAACACAGCTTATGCATTTGGACAACCACTAAATATCTCCAGAGTTCCAGCCATGGTGCAAAATAGCACGCCAAGAAAAAGCTTTCATACAACACGACCAGTCTTATTTTCACATTTAAGCTTCTCGTCATCCTTATTGGGCATATACACAAATTTTATGAAGCCACAATTTAAAGAAAAAAAAATTGCACATCAATAATCAGAAATCAATTAGCCATATACAACTTTGGCTTTTGTAAATATTTCAGTATTTGTAACAAAAGGATAAACGTTTAAAAGTAACAGGAACTTGGAAAGCATGTCAATAAATAAATGGTTTTCCCTTGAAGCCCCCACCCAAAACGTCAGTGTTCGCTACTTTATCATGAATTGTGCAAGGTGTGCTTGAGCTTATATAACTATAGCTGATAACTAGTGTGAACATGTCCTGTGACGCTCCTGTTGATTTTCTTAGTGTTTTGTTGGCCGGCTGCATTCTTCATGCATAGCTGTTGGTTGTGACCAGCAGCTCATACGCTGGGTCGTGGCTCCTCCTGCACAGCACCACGCAAGCACAGAGCATGCCCAGCATCTGCAGGCAGACAGCACAGGGATCAAAACTGTGAAGTTAATTTTTTCCCTTCAGCAACCTCCATGTACATTTCATTAAACAGCACAACTCAACAGTTTCAAATTTTAACAGGAATATTGGGACACACTATAGAACATACTCTGTAATGTATAAGAACTATACTTGTATTTATCACTATATGCACTCTGGCTGTAAAGTTGGATGTTATGCTGACAACAACCACAGCATAGATGCTTTGTTAAACATAGATGCTTTGTTAAACATAGAGTTTAACAAAGCATGACCACATTTACTTTGTCTCAATTAGGTCAGAGCTACTTTCAGTTTACTTGTTACCAAGACAACTGCAGTTTCAATAATACACCCTACTCACCTGAGTCTATTGCAAGACTCTTTAAATATAGTTCTGATTATAAGCTTTAGCTGAGAGATGATGCGGCATATAAATATGTAAAATCTCACTATAACTATCTGCAAGACAAAATATAGGTGTCAACATTTTAAGACCCTTGTGTTTGCAGCTTATATTCCTTACCTGTATAGATGCAAAAGTCAACGCAGCCCATATGACATACATCATAATCTCCTTTAATTTATTCACAACAAGAGCTTCACATCCCTAAAGACGAAAAATAAAAAAAGTTCTCCAGCTATAAACACACTTGTAACATGCTGGAAAATACTTACAGTCTCTGCAAACGATTTAATTACAGACGCCAAACTAGTGGTGTGTACCTCTTGGTAAAGATCTGCTGGTCGAGTGAGCGTGCCTGTACAGTTGCTGATGTTGGGCTGACAGCAACTGACGGGGACGCTGTTGTTCTTGGATTCTTTAAACCAGTGGGTGTTCTTCCAGTCAGAGTAGTTGTGAATGCCGCAGCAGTGAAGCTAGGACAAACGGTGGATGAAAATGTTTAATTACAATTTTAAAATTCATCATCTAATATATGACTACCACTAAAGCATAAAAAGTAACGTAATTAAAAACTGCACGCACTCACTTTTTCCAGTTTTAGATGACAAAATCATTTGTCACAATAGAAGTTTTTTTCTCACCTGCCTCTGCACATAATCAATCGCCCGGCTAGGAGCATCAGTGTTGGTGCCGCTGTATTCATTGTAAACTTTTTGAATGGAGTGATTCACCTCATCTTCTACCTATAAAAACAAAGAAAAGAAAAGAAAAAATAACACAACTGTCACTATTCACCACTCATTGCTCACTCAAAGTAATTTGCTGACTTAGTCTTATAACATTGTCAAAAAACTAATTATAGAAGCACTTTAATCCAAACAGATTAAGGATAAATGAGAGCGGCTAATTTAATTACATTTATTCTTCACAGCAGAAGGAGCTGTTTTACACACAGTAATAAACCATTTATTTGTAAATTACATAAAAACTTCCTTGTTCACAAGGGGTTGCCACAGTGGGTAATTTATCCTGAAACAGGAGACAAATTAAGATTTAGCAGCAGCATTACATTGTCGCCTTTAACAGAAGAGAACGCGACCAGCAAAACAGTGTTTACCTTTGCTCTGTATATGTAGCCGAGCACCACCACCACACACTCCGTTACAAATACCAGCAGGAGTATGGCAGCAAACTGAAAAACAGGGACAGAAAGCTGATGGTAAAATTGATCTAAAATTAAAGAAAATATTGAACATAAGACATTTCCTCTCTGTCTTAAAGCCTATATTAAAACTCTTAAATCAATAGGCAGTTGGCCACTGAATGCATTAGTAATTAATAATAATAATAATAATTGTCCCCATTTATAAAAAGTGTCTTTTCTAATGTAATTTCAATGCAATGTGAGGTTTTATCAATCAAAATTGCCAAAACAAGTGAAAATGTCAAATTATTGGCATTTTATTTTTAAAATCCCTCCCTGCATTTTTACCGCATTTTAAGAATTTTCTTCCAGTACTGCAATTTAATTCAATAAACTCCCATTAAAGCCCATATTGCATTATTATTGCTTTAGCAAAGCCATGTATGTACATTCCCAGCAAGAGTCGGTTGTCAGCATCCCCCAGTAGTAACTTAAAAAGGGAGTTTCTTCACTAACTTTCAACAAAGCAAAAAGTTCTCAAAATGTGCAACAAACTGTTCTCACTAAAGACATAAACTTCTTTCAGCACTTGAGGCAAAAACACAACCAGGCTATGAAGGTAATATAAAGGCTATGATATACTAGCAGCTGCTGATGTCTGACTGAAATGTAAACAAACGACTCCCCCAAGCGCAGCATTTGCAAGTTATGCTCAACACCACCATTAGTGATGGTCGAAAGGAAGGGCTTTAAAATGCTAGTTAAGAAGCTCAAAGTAATATACAGCATCCCAGGTAGAAATGAGGTTTTAGTGCCAATATTGTGAAAATGCCCTTCCTTTACTTACAATATTAATGGTGCTGCATGCAAACTGCAAGCATGAAAAACACCATTCAGTATTTTTTACTTTATCATCAGAAATATTGATATTGCAAATTTTCTTGATATATATCACCCACCTTCCTTGGCACTTCTTAACGTGCTTCCTACAGTTTCCTACCATAGGCATAAAACCACTTTTTTTTGGCATACTCACCGTTGCCAAGCCACAGGAGCTTTCACGTATTGTTGCGCAGCAGCCAATCAAACCGATGATGAAGAGAAGAGTTCCGACAGCTATGATTACAACAGCTGGAATCAACGTGTACACATCTTCAAAGAAGTGGTCATAGTCATCATATGTGATAAACACATAAGCTCCAATGTAGCATAAAATTCCAGCTGCAGCCTGCAGAGAGAAACAGGGAAAAATAACCTGCTTTTCCAATGCTTCAATTTATGTGAGTGCAAATCATTTAATAATACATTTTCGGCCTAAAAGAATTTAACTGACACTTCTTGCAGTTGCACCACCTGACTTAAGCCATCTTTGCAACTTTTGTAATTATTTTCAATTCAGACAGGCTTTTACTTAATCATCTGTGCTAACGTTTTTATTTGGTAGCAAAAGCATACACTTCTTCCCTATTATTAGTTTTTTGATTTCATAATTAAACTATAGTTTTTGTATGGTTGCACCACCCTGACATTTGAGAACATGCAAACCATTAAACAAATATTTTAACGAGCTGAACAGCTTTAAAATGATTGTTATATCAGATTTTGAATGTATAATAATTTAAACCTCAGCTTTAAAAGTGTTCTTAAGTCTTCTCTTTTTTCACTACTTTTATTTAACCAAGAGAGTCCTGGACAAGATAGCAGCCTTACAAACTCAAAACATTTTTTCAAAATGCTACAAACACAACATTATATATAAGATCTACAACATGATATCCAATAGAGAAATATTCCTTATGCTGCTTTTATACTCACACACAAATATAGGCATGTTTACCAAAACGGAAAAATTGTAAATCATATATATTTTTTGAATAAACTCGAAATATAAATATATTATTTATTTATCAAATTAAAAACCTACAAGTGATTCATTTAATAAATGATTTTAAATAGAAATCATGAACTTGGACACAAAAACAAGACATTTCAATCACCCGCATGTGCTATAACGACATCATAGCTTCACATGAATAATGGTAATTCAGGCTCGCAGACAAAGCACGCATAAGCAGTGTGGACTGGGCCTCACGTCTCTATATTATTCAGTCATCCTGCTTGATCGTATATTTTGAATTTTGCTCATCTATACATGCTTTAATTTAGCTCTGCTGTTCTTTTAATATACTAGCATGATGCAGCTCAAACTGCGCTGGAGGTTAACTCAGCTGCTGCTGCTGCATAACGTCATAGCTATAAGTTGTGGGCGGCAGCTAAAGAACACGCTACAGCTACAGCTACTGCTAACCACTCAAATGGGTTTCCAGTTAAGGTCCGTGCATCTTACAGTAAACACTAACGTCAGAGTGAGTCTGTACACATAATTACCGCCATATAATGCATCTGTTTTATCGCCTAACTGCAGTGCATCTCTGGCGCAGTTTGCTAACAGTCTCCATCCTTGGCCTTACTGGGATGCTGCACATTGTTCAAGCATCTGCCGTTTCCTTACCCAAAATATTAGATTGAGGAAAACCAAGACGGTTTTAGATGACGTAATCCCACACTGGCCCATCGTATCGAGAGAGCTTAAATGGAAAGACTTAGTATATATGTATATTTAAAAAATAAAATACTGATGCACCTGCACCTTTGCTGTTAAAATAATAAAATGGCTTCGTCCTGCCCCACTGTGCAGATTCTTCTAGGTTTGACCAATAAAATAGCCGCAAGGAAGCGCTGCTCGGTCACGTGCTCTGGTGACGTCACCATTCAAAACAAACAAACTGGGGGTAATGCTGGGACGTTTGTCTACAACATTGTACTACATTTGAGCTAATGATCTGTGAGTCTGTAAATCTATCGTGCGGTGTTATTTGAAACAGCATCTATTTCATAAAGTTCTGACACAGCACCAGAGTTAAAGTGAGCTTGATCAGTCTTTTAGAAGTAACTCAACAAGTTTGATATTTAGAATTTGCATGTGGGGTGTTTCTTTCTTCTCCCTACATGCTGCTCTCCACAGCTGCAAGCTTCCCTCATGCCAACTACCAGCTGTGCTACTCCTATTTTACTGCAGCTTCCCAATATTGTAGGCAGGAGGTTTCTGAGAAACATAAACTGGCATGAATAGACTAATGCATGTATGTTTTTTTAAATTTTATTTAATGTCTTATTATCTTGATGACTGCACTCATTAAACAGTTTTTCCTTATCTATGTCCTTTGAGTTTGTTAACAAAGCTAGCAAAGTAAAATAGCTTCATGGTGTCAAGCTCAACCCTGTCTTTAAACCTTAAACCTTATCACTTAACTCATTAATGACTGAAAACTTTGGGAGTCTTTTTTTAAAGCATGTTAACACCGATATACAATGAAACTACCTAACATGAACTGAGACTGAATGCCTTGTTTTTTATTTTGACCTATCAGATTATATTATAAAACTCAAGTGTGAACAGATTAACATTTGGTATTTTGCTGTTTGTAATCTCTTAAATATACAGCTTAGACAATAGCAAACACACTGAAACTTCCTAAAATCAAAAACGCTTAAGTGGGTGAAACTGAAATGGTCACAACTAGTATTTAAGCATCATTATAGACCAGAATTTGTCCTTTAAAACTCATGTTGAAAAGCTTGTGTCCAAAGTGAACCTTTGCAAACGAAACTGAAATTGAAAATTAAGTTTATTTTATACAAATAAATACATTCCTCCAGGTGAGGAATTTTTATTAGATTATGATGATCTCGTTATAAATGCACCTGGCCTAGCACCTGTACCTAAAGAGGTTAGATAATGTCTACCATTGTGCTTTACATGTTATTACTGGTTGATGAAATTGTGTGTGCTGCTGTCCGCAGACTTCCCTTTGGTTGTTTTTTCATATATAAATCTCAGCTTGGGCTCTTTCCTTCTTATTTGTCTGTTTTTATGTGTAAAACCTGCTGCCAGTATGCCCTATCCTCTCATAATATTTTACAAGTGTTTATCTCTAGAGTCAGAATGAAATTAGAAAAAATGCTTTTAGATACCCTGCACTGTTTCCTTGAATAATCTACACAAGGACCTAAAATTGTCAGAACTGGTTATGATGTGGGAGTAGTAGTAGTAGTAGAGAATAGTTCTCTTGTGACTGTTTTTGATCCAAGTATTGTAACAATCTGCTGTTGCATATGATTCAGGTTCAACTGTGTTCACTCGCCTGTATCAAATGTCAGTTTTATATGTTTATTTACTTACATATAGACTCCCATAAAGACAAATATTGATTTACGTGTTTTTCGTTTTATTTTTTATACTTTCATCAGCACCTTCCTTTGAAGCTCTTAAAAATCCAACAGGGAAATTCCACACTGAGATGTCAGTGATGTGTAATGAGTGGTTTTATGCCAGAGGGTGGCAGTGTATCATTGCTAGTTTTACAAAGGCACACAAGTTGTGAGACAGAGATTTATCAAGAATGAGCAGTTGGCAAGAACAGCCTACAACCATATAATAATCTGTTTTTCAACTCCATGAATTTTTTAGGTGTTCAGTATCAGGCTTGAATAAATAATAACAAGCACAGCGTGCCCACACAGTCCCCTGGCAAAAATAAGCGAATGTAAGAAACACATGTCACCTATGAGGCTCGCATGTTTCTTAAGAGTGCAGGATGGATTACACAGGAGAAATTTAGATGCAACACTCTATCAGTAATGACCTAAAGTGGTGCCCAAAGCCATGGCTTTATTGCAAGAACACTGGATAAATTCGTCTCTGTGAGCTTTTGGTGTTCAAACTAACAACAATGGAATTTACAAATTTCACTAGCAGAGATTGCCTGTTTTGACACAACATATATTCACTATGTGAATTATGCATCAGGTTTGCCTGTGGCAATCACTTAATTCATGATTAAAATAGCACAATATAAAATATAAAAAGAAAAGAAAAGACAAAAAATGGAATACCGAATGTTCCAATGGCAGAGGCATACATAACTGTAACTTTGGGGCATATTCTTAAAACTAATTACCCCTCAGTAAAATCATGAAATTCTATATTTTTATCTACGTATGTGCAAATTTTATTTATGGGCAGCACGGTGGCACATTGGTTAGCACTCAGGACTTCACGGCAAGAAGGTCCTGTGTTCAATTCCGCCACCAGGCTAAGGTCTTTCTGCTTGGAGCTTGCATGTTCCCCCGTGTTGGTGTGGGTTTTCTCCGGGTACTCTAGCTTCCTCCCACAGTCCAAAGGCATACAGTTAGTGGGGTTAGATTAATTGGTAACTCTAAATTGCCCATAGGGGTGAATGTGAGTGCAAATGGTTGTCTGTCTCTATGTCTTAGCCCTGCGACAGACTGGCGACCTGTCCAGGGTGTACCCTGCCTCTCGCCCTAAAACAGCTAGGATAGGCTCCAGCCACCCTGTGACCCTGAAAATGATAAGTGGAAGAGAAGGGGAGGTACAAATTTAAAAAGAGGACCACACTGGGACTTGAAATTGACTTGAGATGCAGACTGAGTTGCTTAGTGGGGATGTTTTTTTGGACAAAGCTTTAATAACAGAATGATTTCATAGTTTTGCATTATTAGGTTTGGTTTAAGTAATTTCCTGTTTTATTCAGTAATGACTGGTCCTTGTGCATTTCTATTGTTTGCACTTCCTCTAGATGTTAATTTTCCCTCCTTGGTATTTCGATGTGGTCAAGTAGTCAAATTGGCTCCAGTGTGAAATGTCCAAGAAGTATGTATGTGGCAGTCATAACACAATCTGGTCAAAATCTCTAACTACTAAGGAAAGGTGCTTCCTTTAGCATAAGATATACTGGACCATTCTATATGAAAGAAAAGAGATAAGGTCAGAACTCATAAATATAAAATAATCAACAAAAATAACAAGTGATGGACCACTCTTGTTCTTCTTCTTGTTTCAGTTGGTCCCTTTAGCATCGCCACAGCAGATCTTTCAACATATCCATATCCCTAGCATCCTCTTCTGTCACACCAATGCTCTTGATGTCCTTGTTTGCTACATCCATACACCTTTTCTGTGTTCTTCCTCTTGTCTTCCTGCCTGGCAGCTGCATTTTCAACACTCTTTGCCATACCTCCTCTGCACGTCTCAAAAATGCTCAACTTGACCTGTTCCTGACAATGTGTTTTCCATTTGATGCCATAAACTTGTGACACAGTTCACATTATCTCCAAGAAAGTTCTGGCCTACTCCTACTGATACATCTCTGAATCTTTCTGACACAAGCTTTTTCTGACACGTTGGCTCAGAGATCCTTCTCTATCACTCTCTAGTTCTATCCCATCTATAATCAGATAAATCAGCATTCTTTCCTCAGTTAAATGAGCAATGGAACAAGTGCAAAGTAAACAGACAATAGAGGAACAGTGTTTCTCACTTTCCTAGTAGTAAGTAAGCACATGCTCAGATTTTATTAAAACATCACCTTTCTCAAGAGTTAAACATGCAACATGTTTGGACTTTACTAATTATTTTACCACTACATCAAACTGCAACAGTCACTTGCCTCACATTTAAAATAAATAAATAAATAAAATAAATAAATAAGAAAAATACCAAAATTCTCATAAAAATCAAATGCTTGTACATTTTGCATATCTATGTGATGACTGCAAAGTTCCAGGACACATGTTCGCACTTTTAAACAAAATAAAAATGAAAAGAAAAGAAAAAGGAACGAGAATGTTTTTTTTAATCGATTTTCCTTTTGTCATTTTTAAAAGCATGTTTTAGTGCTTTTCATTCTCCTTTAAATTATTGTGCAGGCTTATTTTCCTGTAAAAATTGTGGCCAATTTTCTAGCCTACTAACCCAGTTGGACACAGCATCCTGCACCTGAACATTCCAGGATCTAAAGGCTGTTATTTACTGGACAAAGACTTAATTATAAATGTGTGTGCTCCAGATTCTAATGTGAAATACAAAAATCGGAAGTTACAAACTTAAGGGTCAACTTTGATAACCCAGTTTCTAACAAAAATAGACAAAATGTTAACAGCCTACAGCAGTCTAGAATTTACCACTCAATAGAATATGGCACAGTTACAATTGTAGCCAGGTAACAACAGTTTGTTATTTGCAGTACTGTGATTTGTGGATGAATTGTGCATGTCAGTGGGACTCCCACACTACTAAGAAGCAGACACATCTCCACATGTAACTTTAGCAAAAAAGGAGCTCTATCCAGAAGTAAAGTAAATCATTTTCAACTCCTTTTTATCTATAGTGACCCTTCCCTGGAGTTGATTGTAAATGAAAATATATTAGAATTAATTATTCATTCATCTGTTTATTGGAATAGCATTTCAGCAGTTTCTGAAATACTCAGACCACCCTGTCCAGCATCAACAATCACGCTATATTCAAAATCACTTCGATTTCCTTGTGTTTGGCTAAACACTCGTTACTCTTTTTTTAATGAAGAGAAAGAGAATTGATTAACTGCAAAATAATTCAGTGTTGATTTCGTGTCATGAAAAGTGGGTTTTGAGAGCGTGAGCAAAAGTTTTGAGGATTATGATTTTCTGATCAGCACTAGACACGAAGCAGCCATTGAGACAGAGAATCATTAGGTTGTAGGCATTTTCTTGAATTACATGTTTATCTGAGTTTGGCACTAGTTCTTTTTTCGTGTAACAAACTCAGTGAGCCAAGTGCCCAACAAAAGAAAATTATGAA